ATTATTTTGTACCATATATCTATGTGTTTTCTCAACTAGTAAACTGCTCAAGGCAGAATCTTATCTATTTTTGTACACTACACAGCCTAATGTTATATGTGAGCACTTTGGTTACTCAAGAAATATGTCAATGAAAGAACACAATAAATGTTTATACATATCCTTGGCTAGAGTTAGTAGGACTATACTTAACTGATATAAGGGTATGTTTTTGATTGACTTTGGCTTCAAGACATCCTACTAGGTTTTATTTTCCAAGTCATTTTTTCTCTTTTAGGGAAGCATAAAAATTGATGGTAATTCCCTATACGCACCAGCAGGTTTCACCTTTTTAGTGAACATAAACATCAACAAGGAAGCTTGTCGGGGCCCAGTCATGGCCCACTGGAGTTTGACATTTGGAAAATAACTTCTTCTTGTATAATTAAGGCATCAACATTTGCTACTCTTCAAGGAAACTGTTTGTTAAGCTGGTTTTGACTCTTTGACCCTGACATAACAGGAAGCTCGTTAGCTGAAGATCTGATGTTATCAGTAAGAGTCAGGAAATCCGGTCTTTGAAAAACAATGACTTGGTGTTTTTGGTTGTTGTGTGCCCTTAAAAGCTTCCTGTTGCTGTGAATTTATAAAAGGAGCTCTTTCTGTGAAATAAATCAGACTTCTCTTCGTCTCCGCTCAGGCTTGAGTGTTCTTTCCTTTCTCAATCCTCACTCCCCAACTCAGGCATGTTCGTGTTGTGACGGCTGGACCGCCACAGAAGCTTGCTGAAAGTATATTCACAAAACTCAACACAATAATTCTGTTTCTGCACTGGAATGAAGTATAAAAATCTACATTTTAAAAAAGATATTGAAGGGGCTAGGGATTTAGCTCAGTGGTTCCACTGTCTACCTCGCAAGCTCAAGGACTCAAGTTTAATCCCTGGTACCAAAAAATAAAATACAAAAGATACTGAAGCCCAAATTCACCTGAGAATTTCACTAAAAGATGGTGCTCTTCAGCAACAACCTGTGGAAGGCCAAAGAATTACATCCTCCTCTCTCCATCCCTACACCTAAGTCAGTGATCATGTGGCAGGCCCGTCCTACACACAGTATAGATCTGTTGCTGGGAAGCCAGTAGTTGTTCAGACGTAAGAGATTAAAAGGCCCACAACAAAAGAAACACAGATCCCTGAATTATTTCACAGAAAAGAGCTGCCTACCAACTACGAACATCTGCATCAGCGTATTAGATGAATAAAAATGAACTTCTGTTAGGAGTAAAATTTTAGTTTTTATTACAGCAGCACCATCACTTTAATATATATTATGTAGTGTGCAGACTCATACACCAAGCACATACACACATATATATAATTCATTTAATCAGCAAAATGTCTTACAAATCCATTCTATGCTCAATATGTAACTATGAGCAAAAACATCTGCATCCTTATATTCATGAAACTCAAGATAACTGAAGCATGCATGAAGAAGCATAGTTTTTGTGGGGAAGTTACTTAGATGGGACAGGACAATCAAGTAAAAATAAACACAACTTCCAATTAAGATACAGTAAAAAGGGTCAGCTTTACCACGCACTGACACAACTAAAAAACTGGGAATATATGAAATAATTTTCAAGATATCAAACATACTGCAATAAAAGATAGTGATCCTTCAGAAATGGCAGTGGGAAAAGTAAAAACTATATGATTTTTTAAATAAATCACAGGTTAGAAAAGCTTGTTTTCTACATGTACAAGAATCTAGAGCTAAGACTAATCATGTTAAACAAAGAAAGAAAAATATTTAAGATTCAAATCAAACGTTTGGAGATGAACAATATAATGTGTATGTTTAATAACAATGTATGAAAGTAACAGACTAGACACTGAAGAGGGAAAGACAGTGACAATGACAACACAACAATAGGAACTATCCATGAAATATAAAGAGGGAAAAAGATTCTAAAATAAATAAACAGAACCCCAGTGAACAATGGGACAATTTCTTATAATATAATGTACATGTAATAGGGGTTCAGAAAAAGGGGTGAGTTAAGAAAAGACTGAAACTTTTTGATGAAATAATGGCCAAATAACCCAAATTTTATGAAAACTAACAACCTACAGATTCAAAAACTTAACAAGTCCTAATCACACAAAAAAACTGACAAAATGGCATCAAGGCAAATCATAATCAAACTGCTTGCAGAAAACTCTCGAGACCAGGCAGAGACAAAAAATATCATGTATAGGAAAAAAAAAAGGTAAGGATAACAGCAAACTTCTTGTGAGAAATAACACATGCTATGGAAGGCACCAGAGTAACAACTTTGTATTACTGAAAGAAAAAAAAAAAATCAGCCTAAAATTTTTCACCTTATGAAAATATCTTTCGAAAAATAAAAGTAGGGCTGGACATTTAGCAAAGAAAAAAAAACTCAGCCTAAAATTTTTCACCTTATGAAAATATCTTTCGAAAAATAAAAGTAGGGCTGGACATTTAGCTCAGTGGTGCCGCCACCTGCCTCACAAACACAAGGTCCTGAGTTCAGTCCCTGTTACCCCCCCAAAAAAGTAAAAATAAAAAAATAAAGTGAGACTTTTTCAGATATAAAAGCTAACTCATCAGCAGCAAGCATGGACAACAAAAGCATTAAAGCATGTCCTTCAAGCAGAAGGAAAATGTTATCAGTTGGAAATCTAGATATACATGAAGGAAGGAACTGGAAATGGTAGCTCATGGATGGATACCTATATAAAGAAAAATAAAGATTCTCATTACTTACATCCCTTTAAAAGGTAACTGTTTAATATAAAAAAAAACAATGTATTGTGAAGTATAAAACATATGTAGAAGTATATGGAAAATATCCCACCTAATTTCTAAGGTTCTTACACTACACGAAGGGTTAGTACACTATATCACCGGTAGAGAGACAATAACAAGTTAAAGACATACACTATAAACCCTAAAGCAATTACTAAATTAACACAACAAAAACATACAGCCAATAAGCAAAGGAGGTAAGGTGAAACAAAAAATACAGAATAAAAAGAAAGCAAAAAAGGAGGAAAGGGGGAATAGAATCAGATAAAACAACAAATAAAAAATAATAAGATAATGGCAGATTTAAACAAAACATATGAATATCACACTAAATGTGAATGAAACAATCACAAAATAAAAAAAAGCAGACAATTATATATATTATCCACAAGAAATTCACTTTAAATAGAAGAAAAAAATATGTTAAAAAGCAAAGGATGAAAAATGGCAACTACCTGGCCTCTGTTTTAAAAAAGTAATCAGAAGGCCAGGGATTTAGCTCAGGGGTTCGGCCACCTGCCTTGAAAGCGCAAGGTCCCAAGTTCAGTCCCCAGTATCAAAAAGAAAAATAATCAAAATTAAAAAATGGCTGCTGACATATTTTTGACTCACAGGATACCATAAATTAGAAAATATTTTCATGTTCAAGAGTCCTCCTTCAAGACTTAAAACCTAAAAATACCAAACTGTCTTGTACTCTTCATAAAATTCTCCCTATGTAGGTACTTACACAGCATTTCAATGATCTGAACAGTATCTATTTCAGAAGAAATCCCCATAACTGAGCTATGAGATTAGCAATCTATTCTGAACAATAAGTAAACACAAGGTATTTTTAAAGATGGATAATAGCTTGCTTCTGTGTAAACTATGATTTCACTAAAATACTGTGTATTAAAACGATAAAGTCTAAGACAAATGATATAAGCAAAATGTAGCCATATCTCACCACATCCATTCTCCCTGGTAAAAGGTTTAAAAGGCTATTGATTTTTCTTCCTGATAAAATATATTTTAACAAAAAGTGTCAACATATCTGTATAACTGTTTAACCATCTGCAATTCAATGAAGTACTCACAAAAAGACACTGTACTGTATTATGCTAGGCACTGAGGATTTTAAAATGTTATGCCTTTGAGACAAGTTTGCTGGGGAGAGGATGAAACACATATCTACGAAACATCACAAGGAAGCAACACCTATGGGATGTTTGCATTATCATCTCAATTTTCTAAATGTATCTTGGTATTCTTACCAAGGCTGCCAAATTTATGTAGAGTTTTTCATATTATTTCTTTATTGATGTCTGTGGGGTCTGCAATGATAACTCGTATCACTCTTTTCAATGTTAATCTGAATCTTGTTTTGGGGGAATTGTTTTTGTTTCTGTGTTTGTTTTGGAGGGTTTTTTTTTGTTGTTGTTGTTGTTCAGTTTTGCCAGAGGCCTGTCAATGTTATTGCTTTGTTTTTTGTGAAGAATCAATATTTTGTTTCATTCATTTTCTTTCTTCTCTTGTCAATTTTGTTGATTTCTGTTCTTATGATTATTTCCTCCTTTCTACTAGCTCTGGTTTTATTTAACTATCCTTTTCAAGTTCTTAAAGTGAAAGTTTAGATTGTTCATTTGAGACTCTTCCCTTTCCAGTGCTGTACATTTCCCTCTGAATTTCAAGGACAGCCTCAGAAACAGTAAAATGTGGCCAATAAATTCTAAGGACCCAGGGAAAAAACAGGACAATCTACTAAGAAAAGAAAATTCTCTAAGATAAGCCAGGAAATATTCAAACCCAACAAAATAACAATGGTGATGCTTCTAAAACAATTCCTCAAAACAACATAAATTATATTGAGTGACTTCATGTAAATGAAGAGTCAATCACATATAAAAAGGGAAAATTTCATCTATGGAGTATAACGCACTAAATTTGCATAACGTATAATCCAAGACACAAAGAAGCCAATATAGGAGGTACAGAAGAGTTTCAGAATCTCATTTTCCCAAATTCAGTAATCTCAGACAGAGCTCCTTCACTACCAAGCAATTTCACAGGTTTCCAAATGCTGTCAAACAGGACCTGAAGCTGGGCACATGTGAAGGACAAGTGCAGAACTGTAATGATGATGTTTACCAGTTGTCTCAACCATGGCAAAGTAATTTTTAAAGAAAAAATTTTTTTTCTTACCCTCTGAGCCTTTGCAAGTTCTTCTTTTAATCTTTCATAGCCCTTTTCTCTAACTTCAAGAACAGATGGGCTTCGTAAACGGGATAGACTATCCGTACTCAAACCAAATATATCATCACTACCAGCACAAGCCTCTGTGACTGTAGCACCCTGTAAAAACTCCCTCTCTGCATTACAGCTTTCCTTCCTTGTAGTTGATTTAGTTATCCCAGATGAAACTCCTGAGGTAACACAAGATGCTGGTTCTGTAACATGAATGCTGTAAAAGAAAGTTTTTCAGAAATTAGAACATGCTCAACAGAAATGGTATAAACAGTAACTCTCAACTGCACTATCCAATTTAGAAGCCTCTACAGTTAATTAACAGCAAGTCTTCAGTTACACCAGCCACATCTCAAGGGCTCAACAGCCACATGTGGCTAACGGCTGTCAGGCACACGACCACAGAAATAGAACATACCTACCACAGACAGTTCTACTGGATAATGCTACTCAAAAGGGTCAGCAAACTAAAATCTGCAGACTAAAACAAGCCAGCCACCTGTTTTCAAAAGACCCTTGAGGCCAAGAACAGTTATTTTCAAATGGTTAAGAAGAAATTTTTAAAAATACTATTTTGTGGCATGTGAAAATTTAATGAAATTCAAAATTCTGTCCATATATAAAGTTTTTTTGGAACACAACCACACTTATTTATTTACAGTCTGTCTATAGCTGCTTTCACACTCTAAAGGAGCAGAACTGAATAGCTGGGAAAGAAGCCGTATGGCTACCAAAGCCTAAAACATTTACTACCTGGCCCATATATAAAGTTTGCCAATCACTGCTCTACAAACAACATTGATGGCTGGGCATGGTGGCGCACACCTGTAATCCCATCCTTTGGGAGGCTGAGGCCAGAGGATCACTGGGAGTTCAAAGGCAACCTGGGCTACACAGTGAGTTCAAGACCAGCCTGAAACATTCTGTGGGACTTTGTCTCAAAAAAACAAAAATAAAAACAAAAAAGCATTGATACATATCGCTCTGCATGGGCAAGCTTATATTATTCAAATTTTCTATAATAGTAAAACTTAAGGTAACCAAGTAAATTGTTCATTTTTTAAAAAACATACAAAATAAATGTTTTGACTTCCTACCTGATATTAGATACTTCCACACAGTTTAAATGTCTGAGGGGTGAATACACAGGTTGTGTAGGAAGATCAGAAACATCCAATGCATTAGCCTGGACAGGAGTGGAGCATAAATTTGAAGGATGTGGCCGGTAGATGACACTTGCTGAGGTAGTTTGCTCTTGAGTCCCTGATTCATATACACTAAGAAGGTCTGGAGAAGTAGGTGAAGCTAGGTTTACTTCATGGAAGCCTTCCAAGGGGTCATTAGCCATAGCAAAAGCCTCATTATAATACAACCTATATTAAAACAAAAAGCAGATTATTTTTAAATGATTACATTTATAACTAAATTAAGATATATAAATTATAAAATGTCCATAATAAAATATAAGATTACAATAAAAAAGGAAAAAAACTTATTATTTATTATGAAGCCTCAAAAATATAAATACTACAAAAGGCAAACAAGATGATTTGAAAAAGATGGCCAATGTTGTTTAGGAATAATTAGCAAATAAATATAAGGAATGAAAAAAAAACCTTTGCTTGATGTTTTTAATTTTGCTATTAACTGTGATCTTTGTTATAAAAAGTAAAAAAGACAGTAAAGCTATACATACACATACACAAGCACATTTAGAATAACAAACAGGTTCAAATAACTCTTCTGTTCTACACCATACTAGCTATATGACTTTGGTGAGTCAACACTTTTTATTTTGAAATAATTTTAAGTTCACATAAGAACTGTAGAGCAGCTCCTGGATACCATTTACCCACATTATCAAATTGTTAACATTTTTGAGCCATTTGAGAATGTTTCAGACCTGACACCCATTATTGCTTACTATCTCAATATGTATATATACAAAACTTAAGTACAAAGACATATTCTTTTTTAACCACAAAATGACCAACACTGGATATAACACTGATCAAAATTATCATCTAATGGGCAGGTCTCATTTAAAGTTCACTGGTTCTTCTAATAATGTCCATTACAGGTCTAGGATCCAATCCTGGATAATATGCTGCATTTCCCTAAACCTTAAATTCCTCCTCTGATAGAATGAGAATGAGGATAACAGAATTCCCTCTTGTGTCCTGATTGCTGTAAGATCAAGGGAGACAATCCAACTAAAGTACTTAATAGAATATTCTGTACCTGGCACATAGTATGGTCTCAATAAACATGCTACAGCCATTAACCAGTGTGCTTTAGTTTCTCTCCATTAGCAAAATATATTTTATATAAACTACTCAATTATATTACAAAACAATTATATGAAAACAAGAAGTGTCCTAAGTTTTTCATTTAAAGAATCTAAAGCTATAAACTCTTTATTGATTCCCTACTAGCTACAGAATAAGTCGAAGCTTATTACATTGAGGAGTTTTCTATGATCTGAACACAACATCTCCTAATTTTTCTTTCCTAAAATAGTACAGTATTTTGGTGATCATGAAAAATCCTGCTCAGAGCTTAAACAGTATAACATAATTTCTTCAATTTTAACTTTCTCGCATTAAATATTGAAGTATTTAAAATGTCCAGTAGAATTAAAAACCATATAAATGATAAAACAAATTTGTTTTAAAAAAATAATTCCTAAAAGAAATAAGCCTAATTGCATACTGAGATGGTACCTTAACCACATACAAAAGAATTACTTTAAATGACCTTAAAACACAGTAATATAAATATAAAACTGATGAAATGTATTCTCAGGGTAAAAGAAAGTAAAAATAAAGCCAAAAACTACTTTCAGTGATCACATTAGTAGCAACAAACATTGATAGTTATTCTGAAACCATTTGACATAACCTGAACCAAATAAGTTGTTAATATAATTTGGAACCAAGAGTTTTTAGCATATGAAAAAGATACAAGTTTACTTCTTTTCTTTTCCTCATTGAGTTTATTGGTACGTTTTATGTATACAGTACAGTTAAATTAATCATTGGGATCTTGTACCTTTACGTGACAGGTCTTGGTTCTCATTTTTTCCCCACACCCCTGACCTCCCTACACACCCCCCTTCCTTCCCTATTTACAAAAACTTTTTTTCCATTTTTTTCGCTTTGTCAAGAGCAATGGGTACCCCTGTGCTTAGAGTAATACCATTTTCTACAAAAAAAGAACAGGGTTCCTGGGAAAAATGGATGACTCCAGGCCGGGGGCAGTATATACAAAAGGATCCCAGAATATCTTGTTATACCAGGAAGCAAGCAAACTATCAAAATTTATTGGTACGATATCGAGAGGATTCCCACTAAGTAAAGATGGCACAATTTGAACATCAAAAAGGACAGTATCTGCAAAGAACTAAATTCAAATATTTTTAAACCCATGAATTCAGAATGATACTAAAAAAACCAACCAAACAAAAAAACCTCACTGGTCCCTTTTGATCAGTGCTAGGGAGCCAATTCGCTATTTTCAAAATTGGTAAGGAACAGGAAAGAAGTACTTTTCTTTATGTCATGGAGCAAAACATCTCAGGGGAAAAAGGTTTATTTTTGTTTTTGTTTTAACTTCACTTAGCGTCAACTTTACAATTCTAATGAAAGAATTGGTCTATGCAAAATCATCAATAGCAATTAAAACTCTAACAGAGGGGCTGGGGATTTAGCTCAGCAGTTCGGTGGCCTTGCCTTGCAAGCGCAAGGACCCAAGTTCAATCCCCGGTACCAAAAACCCTAACAGAAAAAGCTGCTTCAGGAACTTCATAGTTAGTGGATCAGGATGACAATACCTAAAGGTACTGATCACATCACCAAAAAAGGAGAGAATGAGACATTATGTGTGGTATGTGGTAAATAAGAAATGAATACCATCACCATTAATGAAGCATTACACTGCTGAGGAAAACAAAAGGACACAAAACCAACCAAGCCTCTACAACTTCATCAGTTTACCGTTAATGCTCAAGAAAAAGGGATATAGTATTATATACCATTGCGGGGAAAAAAATCTGGATTTTGTAAACCCTCATAGTCAATCCATCACGTTCAGTGAATAAACTGTTAAAAGAGAGAGAAATTAAATTTAAAAAGAGATGTAAAAGACATGACTAAATGTCTTGTACATGACTTAATGTAATGTGCAGATCTTTAGATTCTTATTTGAACTATAAAATACATATTATTAGGGTTTAGCTTTAATTTTTTTAAATAATTGTACTGTGTGTTTTTAAGAATCCTTGTTTTGTAAAGATATACACCAAAGCATTTATAATGAAACAAGATTACTTGAATTTGTTTCAAATAATACATGGGGAAATAGAAGGGGAGATGAACCATCCAACTGTCAGTACCAATCACACACAAAGATGGCTTCTCCTCTAACAATAACAGCTACTTTTATTAAGCATTTAATAAATATTAGTTATAGCTTCAGTACACTTACAGTTGAAGAAACTGCAGCTTAGGGAAACTAGAATTATGTCTGCTGGACTCCAGAGACCAAGCTCTTTACCACCACAACACACTCTACCATTTGCTTTCCATTCCACTTTAGACAATTCTAAATAATATTTCTCTTTATACTGGATCACAATCTATCATTCTTGCATCAACTTTATTTTTCCTATATATAAACACAGTATTCAGCCACTCTTTTTAGCAAGTATTTACTAAGCACTTATTATAAGATACCAGGTCCTTGAGGGGAGGGGGATTAAAACTCTACTCTGCCCTGAAACAGCTTCAATACAGTAGGAGGGACTAACAAATAGAGGCAGTGATAATATGTCCAGTATCACAGAAGATACAAAGTTTACTAACAGACCACACAGGACAGACAAATAAATCAGAGGCAATGGACTGTCAGAACAAAATAAAACAAATAGAGGATCCATAACAAGTAGAAAATAATGAGAAAGACAAATTTTCCTGGAAAAGTATTTCAAGTATCCTTAAGGTGTAAAAGCTACACATTTATGGAAAACACAAATATTCTATAAGCTAGAATGTAAACTATGATTTAAAAAGAGACAAAACTTAAGAGATGTGGGTTTGAATTTTGTTTCTGTCAAATTATTGGGCAATCTGTGACTAGGTTCTCTCATCCGGAAACCTCTACCTTGATTTTCTTACCCTAAAGAATAAAAATGTAAAAGAATGTCTTTAGCACTTAAGACAGTACCTCTGAGGAATGCCTCTACCTACAATGTTTTCCTTCTAAGGAATATTTACATGGGCTTAAATTCAAGTCATTTCTGGAAAGATTATTTTAACATCAAATTTAGTCTCTTTTTTAAGCATATGAAATTTCTGTATAATATAACTTAGCTGGTAATGAAATGAAATATCACAGGCCTGAAAGTCTTTTGCTCTTTAAAGTATGTGTTCAGACTTAATTCCTACCAAGAGTCTTTATGTGTAAACATATGCAGCTATTTGATGCAGCAGAACTCTTTGCAGTAAGCAATGAGTGATTTAAAAAAATTTCAACCAGAGATTATCTCATTTCATAAACTAAATTTGTCAAGGATCACTTATACTGAAAAACAGATCACATTAAATTCTTAACAGGTGAATTATACAACTTGCCTGGCCTTATTACTCAGCCCCAAGTGACAGAGTTGGATTCCAATCACAAGCAAAGAAGAGAGAGAGAGAGAGAGAGAGAGAGAGAGAGAGAGAGAGAGAGAGTGTGTGTGTGTGTGTGTGTGTGTGTGTGCCTCCAGCCCACACTTCTGATTCTTAATATGCATCTCATATTATTTTTCAAAGAAGTGTGTGTGTGTGTGTGTGTGTGTGTGCCTCCAGCCCACACTTCTGATTCTTAATATGCATCTCATATTATTTTTCAAAGAAGTGTGTGTGTGTGTGTGTGTGTGTGTGCCTCCAGCCCACACTTCTGATTCTTAATATGCATCTCATATTATTTTTCCCTTCTAAAAGCCAGTATTCTCACAGTAAAAACAACAGCTAATCTTTACTGAAAGTTAACAAGGTGTTACCAAGTGGTGCTAATAATTTCAAACGTAATAACTCACTAAATGCCTATATAGTGGTGGCAAACCTATGGCACGTGTGCTGCAGCGGCCTGTTTGTGTCATTAAAAGCTCTAAAAGGTTTGCCATTACTGGTAACTTCTTACAAAAATGATTTTTTTCTAATTGAAATGAAATTTTGAACTGAAAACAAAAAGGATCTTTAGAACAATTCAAGAAATTAGGATGAATTACTGGTAAAATGTTTTTCATTAAGTTTCTAAGGGCATAAATAAAATAGATACACATAAATTAAATGAAATCTAGGAACCTGATATATATCAATAGTCCAAGTGA